ATCTCAACCGACCCCCTCGCGTGGTGGGCCAAGGCGACGAAGGAGCCGAGCGACTCCGTCCGATTCCTTCGCCCTCTGGCGCGCAAGTACCTCGCTGCCCCTGGGGCCAATGGTTCCATAGAGCGAGTATGGGCAGACGGGCGCAGGACGATCCCGTACACTAGGCATTCGCTGAGCGGCGCGCGCGCGTGCGAGCTCCTCAGGCTGAAGAACAATATGGAGTTCGCGGGGATGTGGCCGATCGCGCCGGAGGCCGGCGCGTGATGAGGCAGGGGGCCCCGTCGCGCGACCACTTGCGTCGCTCGCTCGGGGCGGCGGGGGGCCCGTCGAGCAGCGGGCGGGCCGCAGCCGCGTCGGGCAATTCTTCCACCTGTGCGCGGGGTACAGCGTGCTGTACGGCGAGGTGGTGGAGTTCCGGGGGCCCGATGCGCAGGGGTACAGCGTGCTGCACGGCGAGGTGGGTGTGCCAAAGCGAATTCGTCGGCGGCTTGATCGACGTGTTTCTGTTCTCGCTTGTGTACGATGTGGTGGGCTTCTGCACTGGATGGTTTCTTGGCAGCTTTTCTCGCCCCTTCAGTGGGCCTGGCACTGCTGATCTGGATTTTTCTTCCTGGCAGATTTCTCGCCCCTGGAGTGGGCCTTGCCATGGCAGCCGGCTGTCGCCGCTGTTTCCGCCAGGCCCCCTGGCCCTCGAGGGACCCCGATTGCCCCCCTTGGCAGGCCGCCCAGCGGGGAGTGTCTCCTCGTGCCGCCGCTGGGTTTGAGGGCATACGCTCTCGGCTGCTGAGGGGGGCCTGGATGGGCTCTGCTAGCCTCCTGAGTGCCCCGCTTGCACTGCTTGGGGTCGGCCTTGGTCTTGAGGCTGACCGTGAGGTGATGTTTCAGGGACTGCGGGAGGGCGCCTTTCTCCCGACGCCTTTTAGCCTAGCGGCTGTGCGGTGGCATTTTGGTTTTGTCCTTATTGGATCGGACCTGCCACCGCAGTCATTTCTACGCCCTCTTCGGCTTCATTATGCTGAGATTTGGGATTGAGATGGTCTGCTGCTTTGGGCCAGAGTATCACGTCGTGACGATGCTGGGTGTTTTGATCGGCCGATCGTCTTTGAGTGCGCCGTCGGTGTCTGATCGTCGGCGCTTCTGCGGCCATCGCCTTGTGTGGCCACTTCATATTGCCCGCTTGGCTCCCTTCGGAGAGCGGGAGCGTCGCCTCGCTCGTGGTGGACGCCTTCTCCGTCCTCTTCTGAGGACTCGACCGCCTCGGCCGTCCCGCCAGCTGTTCGTTTCGACGGACGGTTGCGCCAGGCCTCGTCCCTCGTCCCTCTCCCAGGACGTCGCGACGACGACGACGGCGGCGCCGCGACGACGACGGCCCGCCGCCGCCGCCGCCGCCGTCGTCGTCGTCGACAGCACGGCGGAGGAAGCGGAGGAGGAGGGGGAGGATGAGGAGGAGGAGGAGGCGGAGGAGGAGGGCGAGGAGGAGGAGGAGGAGGAGGGGTCCGGGGACCCGTTTTGGACGGATTTGAGAACGGGGGGGGTGCGCCACGACGACGACGACGACGACGGCGACGAGGGCGCTGCCCGCCGCCCGCCGCGCCGCCGCCGCCGCTTTCGTCGTCCATCGTCGTCCGTCGTCGTGGCGCACTCCCCCGAACCCCTCGAGCTCCGTAGTTTCGCAATCTTTTCTGGCCTTCGGGCCCCCCTCGTCGCCGCGGCTGGCCGCGGCGCGAAAAGCTGGTACTCTTAGACCCTGGGAGGGGTCTTGGGACCCGGGATTCGTCTTGGACGGATTTCAAGTCGGGGGGTGCGCCACGACGGCGACGACGACGACGACGACAACGACAACGACGACGACGACGACGACGAGGCCCCCGGCAACGTGGGGGCCCCAAAAGGGCCCACGAGAGGCCCAAGAGAGCTCCAAGAGGGCCCAAGAGAGCCCCAAGAGGGCTCCCAGAGGGCCCAAGAGAGCCCTAAGAGGGCCCAAGAGGCTTCCCAGCAGGGCACCAAGATGCCCCTGGCAATTCCAAGCTGCACCCCGGAATTGCCAGGGGCCCCAACAGGGCCCCTGCCGGGCCCCAAGAGAACCCCCAGAGCGCCCAAGAGAGCCCCAAGAGGGCCCAAGAGAGCCCCAAGAGGGCCCAAGAGGCTTCCCAGCAGGGCACCAAGATGCCCCTGGCAATTCCGGGGTGCACCCCGAAATTGCCCAAGGGCCCCAACAGGGCCCCTGCCGGGCCCCAAGCCAGAACCCCCAGAGCGCCCAAGAGAGCTCCAAGAGGGCCAAGAGAGCCCCAAGAGGCCCAAGAGGCTTCCCAGCAGGGCACCAAGATGCCCCTGGCATTCCGGGGTGCACCCCGGAATTGCCAGGGGCCCCAACAGGGCCCCTCCGGGCCCCAAGAGAAACCCCCAGAGCGCCCAAGAGAGCCCCAAGAGGGCCCAAAGAGCCCCTAGAGGGCCCAAGAGGCTTCCCAGCAGGGCACCAAGATGCCCCTGGCAATTTGGGGGTGCACCCCCAAATTGCCAGAGGGCCCCAAGAGGGCCCAAGAGACTTCCGCCGCCGCCGCCGTCGCCGTTGCCGCCGTCGCCGTCGCCGCCGTCGCCGTCGTCGTCGTCGTCGCCGCCGTCGTCGTCGTCGTCGCCGTCGCCGCGACACGGAGCGGCGGGGAGGGCCGCAGGCCATGCGCTGGGGGCTCGTGACGGTCACGACGCCGGTGGGCGTGGAGGCCAACCGCGCCCCCGTGCGCGCGCGCCTCGTCGCCGTCGCCGCCGCCGCCGTCGCCGCCGCCGTCGCCGTCGCCGTCGCCGCCGCCGCCGTCGCCGTCGCCGTTGCCGTCGCCCCTGCCGCCGCCGCCGTCGCCGTCGCCGTCGCCGCCGCCGCCGTCGCAGTCGTCGTCGTCGCCGCCGTCGCCGCCGTCGCCGCCGCCGCCGTCGCCGTCGCCGCCGCCGCCGCCGCCGTCGCCCGCCGTCGCCGTGCCGTCGCCCTGCCGCCGGCCGCCGTCGCCGTCGCCGTCGCCGCGCCGCCGTCCGCCGTCGCCGTCGCCGTCGCCGCTGCCGCCGCCGTCGCCGTCGCCGCCGCCGCCGCCGCCGCCGTCGCCGTCGCCGTCGCCGTCGCCGCCGCCGTCGCCGTCGCCGTCGCCGTCGCCGCCGCCGTCGCCGTCGCCGCCGCCGCCGCCGTCGTCGCCGTCGCCGTCGTCGTCGGAGTCGGAGTCGGAGCAGGAGGAGGAGGAGGAGGAGGAGGAGGAGGGCCCAAGTCGTGAACAAGGAGGAGGAGCAGGAGGAGGATGAGGAGGAGGAGGAGGATGAGGAGGCCGAGAGGATACGCGATGCATAGTAGAGCGCTGCCTGGCATGGCGTAGAAGAGCACGGCAGAGCGTAGCATGTCATAGCATGGCGCTGCATTGCGCAGTGAAGTATTGCATCACAAAGCACTGCAACGCAAAGCATGGCATCGCACAGCGGTGCAGAACACAACACCGCACAGCATGTCATGGCATGGCACTGGATCCCTTGGAGGGTAAGTGCATCGTCTTCAAGAGGTCTGGGCCAGTCTTGAGTCGCGGCTCCATATCCAGCCCCCCGGGCTCCCCGATAAGCTCCCCGCAAGGCGGGGCTGATGGAGCGCCCCCGCTGGCTCTGCTTTCAACATCGCCATTTCTAATTTAGAGACTCTAAGCAGGGGATCCTGCTTCATACCTGCTCAAAAGGACGCCGCCCAAAAGTGGGGTGGCGACGAGAGCGCTGGCCCGCCGCCGCCGCCGTCGCCGCCGCCGCCGCTTTCGTCGTCATCGTCGTCGTCGTCGTGGCGCACCCCCCGACCCCTCGAGCTCCGAGGTTCGCATCTTTCTGGCCTTCGGGGGCCCCCCTCGTCGCCGCGGCTGGCCGCAGCGCGAAAAGCTGGTGCTCTTAGACCCTGGGAGGGGTCTTGGGACCCGGGATTCGTCTTGGACGAATTTCAAGTCGGGGGGTGCGCCACGACGGCGACGACGACGACGACGACGACGACGACGACGACGACGACGACGACGACGAGGCCCCCGGCAACGCGGGGGCCCCAAAAGGGCCCACGAGAGGCCCAAGAGAGCTCCAAGAGGGCCCAAGAGAGCCCCAAGAGGGCTCCCAGAGGGCCCAAGAGAGCCCCAAGAGGGCCCAAGAGGCTTCCCAGCAGGGCACCAAGATGCCCCTGGCAATTCCGGGGTGCACCCCGGAATTGCCAGGGGCCCCAACAGGGCCCCTGCCGGGCCCCAAGAGAACCCCCAGAGCGCCCAAGAGAGCCCCAAGAGGGCCCAAGAGAGCCCCAAGAGGGCCCAAGAGAGCCCCAAGAGGGCCCAAGAGGCTTCCCAGCAGGGCACCAAGATGCCCCTGGCAATTCCGGGGTGCACCCCGGAATTGCCAGGGGCCCCAACAGGGCCCCTGCCGGGCCCCAAGAGAACCCCCAGAGCGCCCAAGAGAGCCCCAAGAGGGCTCAAGAGGCTTCCCAAGAGGGCCCAAGAGGCTTCCCAGCAGGGCACCTAGATGCCCCTGGCAATTCCGGGGTGCACCCCGAAATTGCCAGGGGCCCCCCCAAATTGCCAGGGGCCCCAACAGGGCCCCTGCCGGGCCCCAAGAGAACCCCCAGAGCGCCCAAGAGAGCCCCAAGAGGGCTCAAGAGGCTTCCCAAGAGGGCCCAAGAGGCTTCCCAGCAGGGCACCTAGATGCCCCTGGCAATTCCGGGGTGCACCCCGAAATTGCCAGGGGCCCCCCCAAATTGCCAGGGGCCCCAACAGGGCCCCTGCCGGGCCCCAAGAGAACCCCCAGAGCGCCCAAGAGAGCCCCAAGAGGGCTCAAGAGGCTTCCCAAGAGGGCCCAAGAGGCTTCCCAAGAGAGCCCCAAGAGGGCCCGCTGAGGCTCCCTCCAGGACGGGCCTCCTCCTCCTCTTCCTCCTCCTCCTGCCCCTCCTGCGCAGCTTTGTCGGCCCGGGCGGCGGATGGGGGATTCCGCCGCGTCGAGCAGAATCCTTATTTCAGCATGCGTTAACCGCTCGACCTACCCGGCCCATTTCGATCTGACTTGGGAGTCTCTGGGCGAACAAGGTTTCGACTGCAGGCGGCTGCTCCGGGACGGCATGGCGGCGCCGAAGGAAGCGTCGCTACCCAGGCTCTCGAAGCTGCAGGACAGAGAAATCACCCCTGAAGATTTTGATGTTCTCTGCGAGCTGGACGCGGCGGAGGCGAGGGGGGGGGCCGACCTCGCTCAAGTTCGCGCTCTGATCGATCTGGCCGACCCTGTTTCGGGACACGGGGAGTGCGAGATCTGTTGTGCCGAAGAGAAGACACACAAGCTTCCTTGCAAGCACGCTTTCTGCAAGACGTGCCTGGAGTCGGCATGGGGCGTCGCGGGGTGCAAGGGCGGCCGCTGCATGGTGTGCGACCAGGACGCTGTGCCGGGGTTGTCTGCCAACAACGGCGGAGGCCAGGCTGCTGGCGAGGCGCCCGCCGCGGGCGGCGGCGGGCCAGCGGCGGCGCCGGAGGCGGCGACGCCGGGCACGCCGCCAGCGCCAGGCACGCCGCCAGGGCCAGGCACGCCGCCAGGGCCAGGCACGCCGCCAGGGGCCTCCGCAGCGGAGGCTGGCGGCGCGCCTGCGCCGCGGCGCCACGCGTGGCAGCAGGACGCACGGGGCCCTGCTGAAGATCTGGCGGAGAAGGACGCGCCCTTCGACGCGGACACGCCTGGCGCCGCCAGTGCCGCCGCCGGCGCCGACACCGCGGCGGGCGGAGCAGCGCACGCGGAACCCGACCCACCGGCCAACGGAGGAGCCCGCGCGGAAGCCGAACCCGCGGCCGACGGGGGAGCCCACGCGGAAGCCGCACCAGCACCTGGACGGGTCGGCGCGCAGGCGCACCTCCCCATCACGAGGCACGACCTCAACATGCCACTTCGCCGCGAGAAGACCATCGAGCACCGCCGGGCGAGCCAGCACTGGCAGAGGCGGCTCATGCGCGAGGACATGGGGAGCTAGCAACCTCCCAGCCCAGTCTTGCCCCCGCGCCTGCCCACGCCCCCCCCTCCCGGGGGTGAATTTGGCCGCGCGGGGCCCCATCGCTCCCCCTTCCCATTTTGGAAAACATAGCCTTTCCGATTTACGTGTGGGGGGTTCGCTCTCTCGTCGGCCCCGCTGCTTTTCAAATTCCATGGAGGACCGGCAGATTGGCTCCGTGCGGCTCCGCGCCGGCCGCGCCTGCAGCAGTCCGGAGGCTGCGTTCGAAGTGGAGTCGGTCGAGTTCGCGCCCGTCAGCGAGCTCGCGCCCGGCGCGGAGGGGCCCCCGCAGCAGGGGACCCCCGAGTGGGGGAAGATGTTCGGGAGCGACACGGAGCTCATCGCCATCGAGGTCGGCCGGTGCGTGAGTGAGAGCGGGCAGGGACAGAGGGCCGCGGACTGCGAGGAGGGAGGCCAGTCCGTGCACCGCGAGGAGGGACTGCCAGAGATGGGCGAAGAGATGAAGGAGTCCGTGGGCCGCGAGGAGGGAAAGCCAGAAGAGGATGAAGAGGGCGAGGTGATCACGAAGAGGATGGTCAAGGACCAGTTAGCCGTGGAGCTGAAGGGCGGCGAGCTGGCCATAGACGAGTTGGTCGCGCGGCTGGAGCGCCATTTCCAGCGCACCTTCGTCGGCAAGGGCTTGGACAGGACGCGCAAGTATGCCAAGCGGGCGCTCACCGACCGCAACAGCCGAGTGGGCAACGTGAATGCCCAGAAGTCTGCGATGGAGTACTTCAAGCGCTACACGTGGAGCGCGGACGACACAGAGCCTGCCACCACAGAGCCAAAGGCCACAGAGGACCGAGTGGCTATCACCGCTCACATCAGGCAACTGCGCCAGAGCACTCGCAAGCTTCGCGAGGGCGACCCTCGCCTCAAGGAGGGGGCCCGGCGGCTCGAGATCATGCTGGCGAAGATCGCAAAGGGGCGCGGTCAGCTCCAGCCCAGCAAAGCCTTGGATGAGGCCGAGGAGGCGTTGGGGGAATGCCAGGCGGACGCCGAGGATCTGGAGCGCAATTTGAAATCCGTCGTAGCGTCCATGAAGCGTGCCATGAACAACGCGGACACAGCGCTTCAGGATTTCAAGCGCTATCGCAGCAGCTCGGCCGCGGCCGCTCTCACGTGCGCCGTCATGGCCCGCGGCGCGGCAGCGGGCGAGGCGTCGGCGAAGCCCTGAGCCGTCGGGCCGACGGCTTCTGTGCTGGGCTCACCCAGCTCGGCATCGGGTCAGAGCGCAAAGGGTCGCTCTGAGTTCTTCCCACGGGGAGCGGCCGACAAGGCTGCGCAATGGAGCGGTCGCGCGGGGTGCCGACCCATGGAAAATCGCATGTGCGATGTCCTCCTAGAGGGGAGGGTGTAGGGAGGGAGTAGGGAGGGGGGAGGGAGGAAGGAGAGGAGGGAGTAGGAAGGAAACGGAAGGCGGAGGAGGCGGGCGCGCGCCGTGGGATCTGCGCCACCGATCCCCAACGTTAGGCGCGCGCGCACCTGCCAGAGGAGGAACGGGAGAGAAGAGAGGGAGGAGAAGAGGAGAAGGAGGAGGAAGGAGAGGAGAGGAGGAGGAGGAGGGAGGGGAGGAGAGGAGGAGGGAGGAGGAGGAGGAGGAGGAGGAGGGGAGGAGGAGGAGGAGGAGGAGGAGAGGAGGGGAGGAGGAAGGGAGGAGGGAGGAGGGGGAGGGGGAGGAGGGAGGAGGAGGAGGAGGGGAGGAGGAGGAGGAGGAGGCAGGAGGAGGAGGAGGAGGAGGAGGAGGAGGAGGAGGAGGAGGAGAGTGGAGCTTGCGGCCTTCCGTCGACCCAAAGGTGCCGGAGGCAGGTCGGCGGATGCTGTAATGCATCCGTCGACCCAAAGGTGGCGGACCCCTTTGGGGCCTGAAAACCGGGCTCCTTGGGCCTCTTGGGGGACCAAGGGAGCGTCAAGACGGCTCAAGATGGTCTCAAGACGGCCTCAAGACGGCCCAAGATAGCCCCAAGAGGGCTCAAACGCCCCAAGATGGCCAGAGAGGGCCCTAAGAGCGCCCACCAGAACGCCTCCAGAGGCCAAAAACATAGATTTCCTTTAAGTTTTTGATAGATTCTAGCGTTGTCGCCTTTTCCGGCTCTCAGAAGCCCATGACGGTCCAAGCAGCTTCCAAAATGGCCCCAAGACAGCCCAAGAAGCACCCAAGGGGGCCCCACGAGGGCCCCTGAGGGCCCCAAGACGGCCCAAAGAGGCCCCCAAGACGGTCCAAGAGGCCCCCAAGACGGCCCAAAAGTACCCCAAGAGGGCCCCAAGGCGGCCGCGAGAGGCCCCCGAGAAGGCACCCAAGAAGGCCCCCGAAGGGGCCAAATGGCGCAAAAGCGCCTCAAGACAGCCCAAGAAGGCCCAAGGCACCCTCCTCCTCCTCCGCCTCCTCCTCCTCCTCATTTCTCTCTCAAGTTGGTAGCTTGCTCATTTGATTGCCCGTCTTCTGCGGCCTGCCGCGACCATGGCGCGTCCATCGTTGCCGTCGTACCAAGGATCTCGGAGATTCCCCGGCCGGGCTTTTGAGGATTGGACCTTGGGAGATTTTGAGCAGCATCGCGCTAAAAGGGGCGTGGCCGTGTTCGAGGAAGCCAGAGATATGGCATGCTATGTCAAGTTGGTGGCCGCCTGCTACCCCACCACGGAAGGCACAGACAGGATTGTGTTCACTGTTGGTTTCTATGTCGCCTACATCGCAATGCGGTTGGTGCTTCGCGTGGCGCGTCCATATGTTAAGACTTTGGGCGACGCTACACATCCCACGCTGAATGAGTACATGTGCTCGCTGACGCTGACACTGAGCTATCCGAACTGTGACAACCAAAGTGACATTGGTTCAAGAGTCCGCGCCGCTGCGATAGCCATTCTGAACACCAGGGACCTATTGGGGGATTACATACGCATGCCAGGTTCTGGAACGGCGCACAAGCTGACAACGAAGATCCCGGCCTACTCCAACATACTGACGATTGGCGCCAAGCGGCACTTGCATGACATTCGCAAAGGTGATGCCACAGACAAGCCGCAGAAGTGCACGCTCAAACGGGACCGGCATGGCAATCATGTCTTTGATTTGAAGACGGCCGAGCATGGCGCGGTCACGGATGAGTATTTCTGGCTAGTGGAAGAAGCTTGGATGATTGCGGAGTCTTTGGCTCTCTGTGCAATTGTCGCGTGCATGAGCCTCTTTCGCAGCAAGATCCTCATGGGAAAGATTGCTCGGGAGTTTGCGAGGGTTGGAAGCGGCATTTCTGTCGAGGATGTGCGGCAGCTCCTCCTTCCAGAGGCTGCAGACACTGCATGGAAGCCAGCTTTCTCAACCTATGACACGTCGACGTGCAATGTGGAGCAGAACGCAGGATCTGAGAGGTACAAGAGAAGTCTGTGGAAGGTGGTCGACCATTTCATGGCGCTGTTCACTCACACAGAAGATTTAGAAAAATTAACTGTCGCAGAGCATGGTTCACGATAAAAAGGTCGCCCAGATGGTCGCCCAGATGTTCGCCCAAGTGGTCTCCCGGAAAGAAATGGTCGCCCAGATGGTCGCCCAAATGGTCTCCGGAAAAAACATGGTCGCCCAAATGGTATCCCGAATATTGGAATTCTTGACGCTTCGCGTATCCCCACCAGCCCATCCAGAAAAGATGCCCAGGAGAGCTGACGGGAGAAGGGAGGAAGAGACGCACATAGTGAAACAGCGTGGGCAAAAACGGTGAATTGGGAGATCACTGGTAGCGAATGGTACGGGTGCTGCTGTTGGTGCTGTTGCTGCTGCTGATACTGCTGGTGGTGATGGTGGCGGTGCTGCTGCTGGTGCTGCTGGCGGTGTTGTTGATTATCGCGCTGTTGGTGTTGCTGATGGTGCTGCTGCTGGTGCCGTTGTTTCTGTTGGTGGTGGTGGTGCTGCTGGTGCTGCTGCTGATGTTGCTGGTTTTCGTGCTGCTCGGCTGTGGCGACGAGGAGGCCCCCCGAAGGCGAACCTCGAGGCTCGAGGTTTGAACCTCGACGGCTTCACATAGCTTCCCGCACGGAAATTGAAGATGGAAATCAGTGCAAGATACGGCGTGGTGTTCCCTGTAGTAAACCTCTCTGGCGCAGATTAGAGTAGCATGCCGATGGACATCCTTTATCTTAGCCTTCGCACTGATTGGTATCTTAAACTCGCGTGCGGCTGCTGGTGTTGGTACTGCTGCTGCTGATGGCGGTGGTGGTGCTGCTGATGCTGGTGCTGCTGTTCGTGGTGCTCATGTTGGCGGTGGCGCTGCAGCTGGGGCCATCTTGGGGGCATGAGGAGGAGGAGGAGGAGGAGGAGGAGGAGGAGGATGACGAGGGCGGGGACGAGGAGGAGGAGGATGAACAAATGAGAAAGAAGAGGAGCAGGAATGCGGCACGACTTGGGGCCCTCTTGGGCCTCTATTGGGGCTCTCTTGGGCCATCTTGGAGCCATCTTGGGGCCTCAAGAGCCCATCGGAAGCGAAAAGGCGAGAAGACAAAAAAAAATAATGGTTTTCCTTAGGTGTTGGAGCCATTTTGGCATCTTGGGAGGGTCCTCGGAGGGCTCGGAGGGCACTTGAAGCCGTCTTGGAGCCGTCTTGAAGCCTCTTGGATGCGTGTCGGAGGCTATCTTGAGCCATCTTGACGTATGTTGGGCCATCTTGGAGGCCATCTTGGGCTCTCTGAGGCCCTCTTGGAGCCATCTTGAGCCGAAAAGGACCCTCTCCTCTGCCACCTCGCGGCCCGCCCCGTCCAGACGCAGGGAGGGGGGGGGAGGTAAACCTCCCGAGCAGGGAAAGCAAGGAAGTTGGCAAAGGAAACGCTCTAGACCACCCAAGCCCAGAGGGCTGGTGGGATTGCTTTCGAGCTTCTCGGGCTTTCTTGGACTCAGATTGGGACCGAAGGCCACCTGTGGGGCGCCCTGGGATGCGCCGGGGTGCCCTGGGAGTCGTTTGGAAGCCCTGGAGCCCCTTGGGCAACAATCTGGGCGA